TTTTGAGATGGAGTCTTGCTCAGTCACCCAAGCTGGAGTGCAGTGGCACGATCTCGGCTCACTGCAACCTCCACCTCCCAGGTTCAAGCAATTCTCCTCCCTCAGCCTCCTGAGTAGCTGGGACTCCAGGCGCCCGCCACCATGCCTAGCTCATTTTTGTATTTTTAGTAGAGACGGGGTTTCACCACATTGGCCAGGCTGGTCTCGAACTCCTGACCTTGTGATCTGCCTTCCTAGGCCTCCCAAAGTGCTGGGATTACAGGCATGAGCCACCGCGCCCAGCCTGGTGTTTTATTCTTTAAAATTTGGTGAATAGTTGTTAATGATTTCTGTAAAACCAATAATAACCACAGTTAAATCACTGCTATATAGTTAACTTAGCATTCCTTATGATTCTTAGTAAATCTAGTATTCTGGTGTGGATGGAATTGTAGTTCCAAAATTTTTATGGAAAAAAAGATAATTAGTAATTACTAATTAAATTCATCCATTCTTAATTTTATATGAGGAAGTAATTTTCAAATAAAAGTTTTACAGTCCATAACCTAATTTAAATGCTACATGGCTGATTGTTAGGGACCTTTGGATGGCTTTTTCCAGAGCAAACAGTATTTGGTTGTTTGGTACCCTAAAGACACACAATAAATACATTTTGAATAAATTAATGTAATTGGAATTTTTATTTCATAAATGTTAATGAAACATGCCTGAGTTAGCTGTGTTTTTAGAGCTGCAAGTCTATTCATAAAATACATTTGTGCGTATTCATTGTTAGAAATTTGTTTGTAGCTTTTAAGGTAAACTTTTTGATTAAGTTAACGTTACCTTGACAGTTTTTAAAAATACTGTGGAAAACATTTTTTCTTTTCAATTTTTCAGTTTCCTTAGGTGATTTTTCTGACACTTCAGCAGATGAAAATTCAGTTAATAAAAAAATGAATGACTTTCATATATCAGATGATGAAGAAAAGAATCCTTCAAAACTATCTTTTTTGAAAACCAAGAAATCAAATGGTAACATAACCAAAGATGAGCCAGTGTGTGCCATCAAAAATGATGAGGAAATGGCACCCAGTGGGCGTGAAGACATCGTTGTAAAATCCTCTGAATCTCAAAATAAGGACAAGGAATTTGAAAAAGACAAAATAAAAATGAAACCTAAACCCAGAATTCTTTCAATTAAAAGCACATCTTCAGGTAATTTGTTAGGATTACTGTAATTGCATTTCTTGGAAGTTTATTTTAAGATAATCAGTCCCAAAATTTTTTATATGGTAGCTAGTATATATTTAAGAAAAACAGACTTAACTTCAATTTTACAGACCTGTTGTATTTTGTCTTGCATCTAGGCTGTTGCCTGATAGAAGGCCAAAGCACCTTTAGTTATCCATAGCATCCGTAGCTGTGGATCTGCAGACACCTAGACGTGTGAGCTTCAGTTTTGTTTGTAGGCATGGAACTGGAATGGAATGCTGTCTAATCCCTCTCACACTCCAAAGATTAGAGTTATAACAATATTGGTACTAATCCGTAAAACAATCTTTGCCATACCAACGTTGTGCCAGAAAATTTTCTTGACATTTGTGTATTTGAAGGATGAGTTATGTTATTGCTGCTGCTGTTTTTTGAAGCTTCTAGGCGCTCATTAAGAGAATCTCCATTTGGTCTCTGTATTGCCTATGAAAATCTACTAAGATTCAGTTTTCCAAAAGAAAGTTCCCAGTGTGATCTGGGGTTACAGTAGTTCTCCCCACAATTATACTGAGCTTTAAGCATAAAGGAACAAAGATAGAATGAAACAGAGACCAAGCCCTCTCACATACTCTGGGTCACCATTCATGAACTTGTATATGCAAGGTTAAGGATTTTGTGTTTTTCAGTCTTCCTTCTGTTTCATAAAGGAATTATTAGTTGATGTTAACCATCATAAAAATCTCCTTCCATATCATCAGTAAATACAGTGCTGGTAAATATTTCATACTTTGCGTATTAGATACCAGTGGTAACGTCAGACAAAACTTTATTTCAGGCATATATTGGGGAACTGCTCCTTTCTTCCTGACCCCACAATCTCATTAACTTTGAAATGAGCAAAGGATGTAAGCAGAGCAAAGAACATAGAATAATGTCCAGGACACCTGGGGAAAAGCCACTGTATATTAGTTATATATGACTTGAGCAAATAAGCTTCACTATCCTCATGACGAAGAAGCTAAAAATAGCCCTCTTTCTATTCCTGCAAAATTGTTGTGAGAATTTATTGAAGTACATCTCATAAACTATAAAAAACTTCAAAAATGCAAACAGGATGCATAATGAAACAGAATTATCTTGTTAAAATGTGCCTCCCAAGTATAGTGAGTGAAATCAATGCTAGAGAGAAGAGGAACATAATTGAACTTTGTTATTAAGAGAATGCGAGCATATAGCAGCTAAAATTTGTCTGAGACAGGTGGACGTATATAATTAGAAATTTATGGTAGACAATCAGGAAAGCAATAATCTACCTATTTCATACCTTAAAAAAAGAAAAGAAAAAAAACACAAAACCTGTGGTATGTTAAAATGAATAAGGAAATACTGTATTTTAACCACAAGGTGGCATTGGGATCCTAAATGCTCTACTTACATATGCAATGTTATATTCAGTATGTGTAATATCAAAATTACCTAAATAGGCAATTGTATGCATTGATTACCAAAAAAAGCACTTTTCTTAAAGTATAAAAAAAAAAGTAAAGTAAAAAAAAAGAGCATTTTTTTTTCTTTTTGGGAACTTGACAGTACTTCTGGAAGTGATATTTTTGTAGAAAATAAAGTTGTCATTCTCAGGTTCTTGTAAAAATTGAGGCTAGTGTTCCTAAGATAATATCTGGCATATAGAATATATTAAGTATTTAAATGAATAAATTCATATATGAATGATTTATCTTTGAAAGAGGGAATGTGGTTCATGAGTTTATGCTCTAAATTCTTTGACTTTTTTTTTTTTAATACAGGTTTGGAACTCAATATTTTTAATGTGGTGAGATATTGCTAAGGAGCAAGTAATGCTTTATGAAACTATTAGAGCTTGAAGGCTTTCTCTGTCCTTGCTTGTCTTTTGTAAAAAGTATAATAACCAGACTTCATAATCACTACTGAAGTGACAGTTACTCTATAAAATGAAAGTATTTTTTGCAGGATATGTTTTTAACACTAACATGACTGAAATCATGAACTTTGGAGTCAGGATGCTTCTCCTTTAATCTGAGATCTAAAGCCTGCTAGAGTTTGTGACTTTGGGCATGAGACCTCTTTGTTCTCATTTTATTCATCTTTAAAAATGAGACAATAGTTGCCTACCTTTAGAAGTTTGAGGCAATTAAATGAGTTCACATATTTGAAGTGCTTAGAACAGTATTGGCATAAATTTAGCACTCTATAAATGTTCTGATTATTCACTTTATTAATTAGCATTTGTTTATAAACACACTCAGCAGGTATAAAGTATCAGTCATGTGGGATGCATAAGTTCTAGAGATCTGCTGTACAACATTGTGCCTATAGTTAACAGTACTGTCTTTTGCACTTAATGTATTAAGAAGATAGACCTCATGTTGTGTTCTTACCACAATAATACAAAGAATTGGCTCAATACCTTCTTTTAGGCATTATATAATACTCTGCTTAAACTGAGGTTCAAAAGACATGGAAGCATTTGTCAGGAGGAGAAGCAGGAAGTGGATATTCTAGGCAGGGGGATCAGCTTAGGTAAAGGTATGGTAGTAGGAGGGATTGGAGGGATTGTGGCATGTGTTCATGACAACTGTTAGCCCAGCATTTCAGAAACACAGATGACAAAATGGCTGTAGATTAGGCAGTGAAGGACAAAACCATAAAATCCCTTTTATGTTGTTCAAAGGCAGTTAAGCTTTTGTTCTGTAGGATTGGATCATGGGGAGCCATTGAAGAATTTTGTAGAGAGGAGTGATGTGATCTGATTTGCATTTTGTAAATATCATGGAAGCAGTAATCTAGGAAAGAGTGGATAAGGACCCGACAGTAGGAATGTAGAAAGTGGAATAAATGAGATATTTGGCAAGTAGAATCGATAGGGTATATTGATACTTTGGATTTAGGGGATAATGGAGGGAGGAATCTAGGACCCTTGGATTTGGGGTTGAACATTTGGCTGGAGTTTAGGATGTAGCTAAAATTGTCAAGGAAATATTTATAATAATACCAACTTGGTATGGTTGTGGAATCTTCTGGCAGCATTCATAAGCCCGTTTGTAGGTAAATGGGAGGAAGATGTTAATTAGACCAGTTTCGAAGTTTAGAGAAATGCATTTGTAGAACAATAGAAACATAAATATGGATAGCAGGTAAAATTCAGGCAAAAAATATATACATGGAAAGTCTTCCCATTATGTTTCAAATGCTGGAGGCATATCAGTGTTAGATTCTTGTTTTAAACTTAGAAGTAATGGAAATAGTGAAATTTTAATAACTGCTAAAGAAGTTTTATGGACTCAGAACAATTAACTCATAAAAGATTTCTTCCTCTAGTGAGAGTTAGTGCTTCTATCCCTTGGGTGCCAACATCATCATCTTGATCCTTATAATAGCACTTACCGTTGTCTTGTAATTTTGTTTAGAAAAATCAACCTGTAAAGTCCCTGGACAGGTCCATTTCTACTTTGTTGATTATGAGGTTTAGTAATGTGTACAGGGCTTGGTACTCAAAGGTTTGATGGATGAACCTCTTCATTTTATAGTGGTAGAAACTGGGGCAAGATTTTGTTTTGTTTTTTAACATTTTTTTTTGAATACTATAGGAGTTAATAATGTTGAAGAGTTAACTTCTTGTGAAACTAAAGTACAGTGGTTACTTTCAGGATGACAACTATTTTTTTACTTTGTTTTTTGTTTGTTTGTTTTTGTTTTTTGTTTTTGAGATGGAGTTTTGCTATTGTTGCCTAGACTGGAGTTCAATGATGTGATCTAGATCTCGGCTCACTGCAACCTCAGACTCCTGGGTTCAAGCAATTATCCTGCCTCAGCCTCCTGAGTAGCTGGGATTACAGGCATGAGCTACCACGCCCAGCTAATTTTTTTGTATTTTTAGTAGAGACGGGGTTTCACCATGTTAGCCAGGCTGGTCTCAAACTCCTGACCTTGTGATCTGCCCAACTTGGCCTCCCAAAGTGCTGGGATTACAGGCGTGGGCCACTGCATTCGGCCTGATTATTAACTATCATTTATTTGTGACTTATTAGAGCTCTGTATAGAGAAGAGTTGTGGGCTTCATCTGGACTCTTCAGGACAGAGAGCGAAGGGGCATGGGCACAGGAGGGAAGTATGGTCGCACCCAGAGAGATAGATAAAGCCATGGTCATTTTTTTGTACACATGCTTTAAGCATTTTATTTTTCAGCAGAAAACAACAGCCTTGACACAGATGATCACTTTAAACCATCACCTCGGCCAAGGAGTATGTTAAAAAGGAATAGTCACAGAGAAGAGAAAGATGGACTAGAAGATAAAGAAACTGCCTTCAGTGAAGAATTGGAGTTACATTCTGCACCTTCTTCCCCTCCAATACCGAATGGCACACAAGTAGAAGCTGAGAAAAAAGCATTCTCTGAAAACCTTGATCCTGAGGTTAGCACTACCACTAAACTGCTGCATTGTGTTCTTGAATTTGTGCTTTTTTATCTGATTATGAAAAAGAGAAGGAGAGAATGAATTTGTGTGTGTGTGTTTTACATATTTTCTTCTGCAACTGATAAGGAAATAATTTTTTAAAATATACTGTATTCCACCCAATCTAAAACTGCACCAATTATAAAATGTAGCATTATTTTACATGCCACTAAGGAAGAAGGAAATGCATACAATTAAACTATAACACACCACTGATTGTAGAGTTTATCCAGTTTTAGAGAAAGTAAAATGTCAAAAAATGTTGCTCCTCTGAATCTATATAATAGTGTTTATCTTTAATAATTTTTTAAATTTATGTATCTTTGAATTATGGAATTTAAGGCTAAGAACAATATAGTCAGTGTCATTTTATTTATTTGATTTTATTCACTCAACAAATGTGTGTTGAATGTTCATGAAACTGTTCTGCGTTCTTTTGGTTATGTTCCAATAGCATTAAATGTGGCCTTTCAGGTTTCTATCAGGAAGTTTACTATGCATTGTTATTAAGGGAGAACACTTCGTTTTTCTCTTTGTATTTCATTATGAGAAGCAAATTTTCCCTTATGAACATTTCAGAAGGGAAAAGTACAGGAAGAACATTTCTTCCCCATAATTTGCTTGGACAGATTAGGGAACTGCATGCCACCTGGCCAAGCTTCTTTCTTTTTCTCATCGCTTGTCTGCAGTGTTGGTGTGTAAGGATCTGCTCCCTGGGAGGTGAGGCGGAAGGCACGGAGAGGAGCTCCTTTGTGCTCTGACTAAATGGGGGAACCCCCCAATTCAGACTGAAAGTATTAGGAAGCACAATAGGTTATCGATTCAAATCTTGTTCTGCAGTTGAACTTTACCAGTAAAACTGACAATTTGATATACGCCTAACTGACACCACCATGCTGTTTCTTAATTTGTTCTGAAAACCAGAAGAAGAAACCCAAGCAATTACTTTATATTTAAGAAAATTGTCTGATCAGTTGAATATTGTGCTAGTTTCTTGTAGCTGCTGTAACAAATTGCCACAGACTTAAAACAATAGAAATGTATTCTCTCGGTTCTGGAGGCCAGAAGTCCGAAATCAAGGTGTTTGCAGGGCCATGTTCCTCTGAAGGCATCATGGAAGAATCCTTCCTTGCCTCTTCTAGCTTCTTTCTGGTGGTTGGCAGCAGTCCATTAGCATTCCTTGGCTTGTAGCTGCATCATTCCCATCCCTGCCTTCATCCCACGTAGCCTTCTTCCCTGTGTTTTCTCTGCGTGTCTGTGTCTCTTCTTTCTCTTAAAAAAAAAGATACTAGGCATTGGATTTAGGGCCCACCCTAATTGAGTGTGTCCTCATCTTAACTATTTAAACCTGTAAACACCTTATTTCCTAAGAAAGTCGTATTTTGAGGTTCTAGATGACCATGAATTTTGGTGCATTAATGTTCATATTTTAAACCTAGCATTCCTGGGATAAACTCTGGTTAGTCATGGTGCGATATTTTATTGTGGAATTTGATTTGTTAAAATTGTGTTAAGATGTTTGCATCTATATTTATGAAGGCTATTGGTCGGTAATTGTTTCTTACAATGTTGCCATCAGGCTTGGGTATCAAATGAGTTGGGGAGTGTCTTTTCTTCCTTTATTCTATAAAGGTTTGGTATTTTTTTTTTTTTCTTAATTGTACTGGTGAATCCTCTCACCAGTTGAGGATTCACCAGTACAATTATCTGGGCCTGGAATTTTCTGTGTGGAGACATCTTTGTCATTAAATTTGATTTTTTAGATAGATATTTCAGTACTCAGTACTCTGTTTTCTGTTTTACCAGTTTGGTAATTGTGTCTATCAAGAAGTTTGTCCGTTTCATCTGATATGTTGAGTTTATAAACATAGTTGTTCATGATAGTCCCTCATTCTTTTGTTGACTGTAGGATTATCATGACATTTCATTTTTTATTTCTAACATATATAATTTGTGTTTTCTGTCTTTCCTGCTAAATCTTGATAGGCATTGCTTAGTTTCATTAAACTTTTTTAAGAACCACTTTGGCTTTGTTATATGTTGGTGCAAAAATAATTGCACCAATTATTTTGGCCATTACTTTCAATGACAAAAACCGCAATCATTTTGCACCAACCTAATAATTTTCTCTATTGTTTGTTTCCAGCTTCATTAATTTTTAGTATTATTTCTTTTGGTTTAATTTGCTTATCTTTAGATTTGAAAATTTTCTCACTCATTTTTAAGATTTTCATGTTTTCTGCTAAACCTGTTGAAAGATGTAAACTTTCTTCTTTGTACTGCTTTAGTGGCCCCGATTTTTTGATGCCTTTTATTTTTATTATCATTTCTTTAAATATATATTCTAACTTCCCTTGTGATCTCCTGTTTTAGAAATTCATTTTTTTACTTGAAAAATAATAATTGTACATGGGGTACGTAGTGATTTTTCGAAACATATAATATATAGTGATCATTGTGATCTCTTCTTTGACTAGTTGGTTATTTTGTGGTGATTTATTTTATTTTCAAATACTTGGTTCTTCTCTACATATACTTTTCTGTTAATTATAAGTTAATTTTGTTATGGTCCAGATAATGTATCTTACGTGATTTCAAATTTTTAAAAATTATTATTATTATTTCTAAATGGCCCAAGATAGTGTATCTTGTGGAAGTCTCATTTGCATTTGCAAAGTAGATGTGTTCTCCAGGTGCTGAATATAATGTTGTGTAGTTGAAGTTTGGTCAACATGGTTGGTAATATCATGCAGATCTTCTTTAGCCTTACTGATTTTTCATCTAATTTGTTTACCAGTTACCAACTTAGGGGTATTAAAATATCCAGTTATGTTTGTGGGTTTGTTTATACTTCTCTTTAGTTCTGTTAGTATTTTATAACTTTGTTATCAGGCACATACATATTTATTATTATTATGTTTTGAGCATTATGAAATGTCTCTACCTCTGGTAATATTCCTTTCCTTAGCTTGTAGATTGTTTTGTCTAATACTTCAGCTTTCTTATGACAAGTGTTTCCATGGTATATTTTTTCTATCTTTTCTCTTTCAAACTAATTCTGTCTTTCATTTAAGTGAATCTCTTACAATAAGGGTTTGGTGTCACTTTTTTTTTTTATTATTATACTTTAAGTTCTAGGGTACATGTGCACAAGGTGCAGGTTTGTTACTAAACTATCTCAAGAACAGAAAACTAAATACCACATGTTCTTACTCATAGGTGGGAACTGAACAATGAGAACACTTGGACACAGGAAGGGGAACGTCACACACCTGGTGTCACTTTTTTATTAAGTCTGGCAATCTGTACCTTTTAATGTAGTATTTAGTCCATTTATGAATGTTTTGTCAATTTACTTTTAATGTAAATACTGATGTGGTTGGATTTAGAAGCAATTTGTTTCTCTTTATTTTCTATTTATCTTTTTAAAAAATTATTATTTTTATTGTTGTTTCTCTGTTACTCCTTTCCTGCCTTTTTTTGAGGAGATAATCATGAGTTTTTTAGTTTTTTATTTTTATTATTATTGACCTTTTATCTATATCTGTTTGCATTATATTTTTCAGAGTTGATCAGTGGATTAAAGAATACATCTAAACATTATCACAGTCTATTTAGAATTGATACGGTATTGTTTCACATTTGATATAAAAATATAGTTCCATATACTCCTGCATCCATTGTGCTATTGTCATATATATCTACATATCATATAATCCCCACAATAAAGTTATAACTTTTCTTTAAAGAGCCCTTTAAGTTTTTTCTATTAGACTTTTAAATAAAGAAGGCTAGAATATATATTATATATTTATTGTATTATATATTGTATATATTATAGATAACATCCTATTGCTAAATATATTATAGATAATACATATTTGTAGATAATATCTATATATAGGTAATATATTCTATTCTCATATATTATGTAGATATATAGATAACATATATCTATAAATATAGATAATATATATCTATAGATAATATATATCTATAAATATATAGAGATAATATATATCTATAAATATATACAATTTCTAGGGATCTTCATTTCTTCCTGTAGATTCAGATTACCATTTTGTACCCTGTCAGTCTTACAAACTTATTTTACATTTCTTATAATACAGGTTTACTAGTGATGGATTTTTCTCAGTCTTTGCTTTTCTAAAAGTATTTGTCTCATCTTTGTTTTCAAAGGGTGGGTGATGTGATTATATCCTTGTCTAATAGCTGCCTCCTTCTACCTCCAGCTCTTTATAGGTTTCCATTTTTATTGGCCTCTCTTGTAATCATTTATTTCATTGTCCTCTCTATATAATGTGTTGATTTCGTCTGAATGCTTTCAGGAATTTTACTCAAGATTGTGGTTTTTATCTTTTAATTACAGCAATTTGACTATATGGTGCCTAGGTCTAGCTTTCTTTATGTTTATTCTGCTTGATGTTTGTTGAGCTTTCCAAACATATAAGTTGATACTGTCTGTGAAATGGGAAGATTATTTTTTCCCACCCTATTTTTCTCCCTCTCCTTTTGGTACTGTAGTTACACATGCATTGAAATTTTCAGTATATCTCACTGATCTCTGAGATTCTGTTTATATTTCTTAAATTTTTTTCCTCTTTGTTTTTCATTTAATAACTTGTATTACTCAGTCTTTAGGTTTACTGATTGCGGTCCAGAGAATGTATCTTTTATGATTTCAAATTGTATGAAATTGTCTTGTTTTGTTTTAATGGCCCAGCGTAAGTGTATGTTGTGAAAGTTCCATTTGCAGTTGCAAAGTATAAGTGTTCTCCAGGTGAATTTTTTATTTCACTTACTGTGGTGGTCAACTTTAGATTTTCCATTGGTATTTTTTCTATTTTTTATAACTCTGATAAAATCCCCCATCTTTTCAGCCATCATGCATATATTTTCCCCGAAGTGCTTGAACATATTTATAATAGCTACTTTAAAGTCCTGTCCGCTAACTGTAAAATGTGAGTCATCTCTGGGTTGCTTCCTACTGACCATTCTCTTTTTTTTGTTTGTTTGTTTTTTTAAATAAGTGCCACCATTTTCTGTTTCTTTATCTAGTGACTTTTGATTGAATACTAGGTGTTGTGAATGATATTTTGTAGAGATTCTCGATTCTTTTATGTCCCTCCAAACACATTTTCTAGCAAGCAGATATCATGGCTGGACACAAATTCCCAATCTTGTTTCTCCTGCAATAGATATCAGCTGAAATTTCTGCTTAATTCTTTTCAGTTTCTAGCTTCTATGCTTTTACAGGATCCTCTGAGGTCTCCCTTATGCCACAGATAGAGGTGGTAAAGGTTTTTGGTGAATTTCATATGCAGATTTTGTGGTCACTGTCCTCTACTATTTTCCACATTGGCTGATCTCGTGGTCCTAGACTCTATCCTCTGTCCCCTCAAGTCATTCCACCAAGGCTGTAGCCTTCTATTACTTGAGCTGCATAGAGTAGAGAATGCCTTCTGGCAAAAAGCTACTAATTTGCAGATCTCCTCAGGTGAAGCTTTGTCTTTCAGGGTAGACTCCAGTGTCTCAGCACTTCTTCCATTTTCTCAAATGCTTTCTCTCCATTGCTTTTGACATATAATTTCCTTTGTACCCATAAAATATTGCTGGGAAAGAAAATTAAAGGATTTGTACAACAAAGTGGAACTTCTTACATTATAATATCATCACCTTTAGGCTAGATGATTCTATGAAGAAATGTTTACCTTAGATACACAAATAGAATCATTGCATTTCAGATATAATTTTCAGAATTTTGAGGAAAACTCAAGTGCATGCAGTCTATGTGCTTTTCCTATCTAAAATATTTGGAAGTAGCTGCTTACTTGATTTTATTAAATGTTTTCATTTGGATAACTAGTAATACTTGCTTGGAACTAAAGTATTTACCTGTCTTCTTTATGCTTTCCTTCAAAGGATAATTGTAGGAAGAGCTATCAAAATCAAATCTTGGCCTTAAATATTTATAAGAAATGTGATTTTAAAGTAATAGGAGTTTTGAAAATTGGTAAAAACAAATAGAGAGGTGGTGGTAGTTAGATAAAGAACTTGAATAACTCTTTCAGTGACCCCTTTTATTAACCAAGACATCAAGGCTTGAAAGTAAAGCATACTCACCTCCACTGGCTTGTCACACTTTGTGTTTCAGCAACAAATGACTAATAATGCAGATTTCAGAGTTACGCACTATTTTAATTTGTAGTTTTAATAATGCTATTGTTCCCTAAAATGTTAATTACTAAACTTACATGGGAAATGTATTTTTTTGCAGAAACAGGATTCATGCTTAACAAGTCTATCATCATCATCACTTAAACAAATTCTTGGAGATTGTTTTTCACCAGGATCTGAGGGAAACACATCTGTAAAAGGTGGTTATATATAATAATTATATCTTATTTGTGAACTCTGTACTACTTAGACTCCTGTTTGTAAGAGAAATAATACTTCCTATAATTGCAAGAGAAATGCATGTTTTTATGAGTTTGAGTTTTAATCCTGATCATGTAGTTAACTAACTGTGATTTTGGATGCAGAACTTAATCTCTCAGTGCCTCAATTTCCCGAAGTTATATTATCTGTCTCATAAGGTCATTATGAAAATTAAGTGATATAGTGCATTTTAGCCATTAGCCTAGTTCACAGCCCACGTGGAGTGAGCACCTGAGGTAAGCTATCATTATGTATGTGTTGCTTTGATATTCTGCAGGACAACATAATAGCTAGGTGGAATTTTAAAGTGAGACTAAGCTAGATTTGAATACAGGCACAACTACATAAACAAAGTAGCTAACCTTTCTGACCTTGTATGTTGATCTTTAAAATGGGTAAAATAAGAGTAATCTGCCTTATACAGTGGTGTAAGAATTAAACATGTAAAGCATTTACAGCAATACCATAGTAAGCACTTACTGTGATATGTGAGTTGTGAATATAATTTCTTTTCTTAGTGATATGTAGCTTAATGAAAGCTAAAAGACATAGCTATTTCTAGGTCTGAGATATGTAACGAACATTTATTAAGTGCTTACTATGTAGCATCATTTTTGTCATTTTACAGATGAGAAAAGCTGAAGTGCAGTGACTTGGGAAAACATACCCAAGGTCAGTGATGGAGCCATAGTTAAATCTTGAGCTCCAAAGTTCTTGTTCTTTTCACCGATTAGATTAACAGCTCCAAAGAATCCAATAGTGAATTGAGTGATTTTAAGCCCATCGTACCTCAAAAGAAATTTCAAAAAATGGTCATGGTGAAACCAACAGAATTAAGACTTTTGATAGTGAAGATTCAGGTTTAGCTAGGAGGTGGATCTTGGTAGAACTGAAAGTTGGTGATCCCATTCTAAAATGTGGTAGAATCAGAATAGTAGAAGCAATTCTGTAAGTGCAAAACTGAATCTTCTTATGCCAGAGCTTGAGCCTGTTTCTTGGAGCACAGAGAGGATAAGCAATAGTCTTTATTGCTGCTTATGGTATCAGAGGCGGTACTGCATCTTGGTGAGATGAAACTCACTAGAGGCTGTGTAAAATTGCATTAATTCCTGGTTCTTTCTGCATCTGTACAATTCAACAGTTGTACTACTAATAACTATAGTAGCCTAGAGAGGTGTGACACCTTCTTATGCAGCCTGTTGTTCCAGCTGAGAAACTCAGGCTTTAGAGCTGAACAAATATTGTCATCGCACTTGCTTGGTTTGTATGTCAACAAGCTCTTTTGATGTGTCTTTGTTTTAGGGTAGTTATTCCATTCTGTTTATTAATATGCTGTTTTTCTAAGTACTAGATTTGGTAAGTGCTTCATTAGTTAAGCGTAGACTTTTTTTTTGTAAATCACTTTTGAAAAAAGTTTATGCAAGTTTAATATGATAGTTTTCTTCATATTTTGCAGGAAAAAAAGTTTATAGATAGTCCTCCTTTAAAAGAAAGCAAATGAATCTGGTATTTACCTTATTAATTCAGAAGGGGGTTTTAATGCTATTACTCTGTCTCAAAATAGATCCAAATGAAGAAATCACTGAAAACCATAATTCCATGAAATCAGATGAAAATAAAGAGAATTCATTTTCAGCAGACCATGTGACTACTGCAGTTGAGAAATCCAAGGAAAGTCAAGTGACTGCTGATGACCTTGAAGAAGAAAAGGCAAAAGCAGAACTGATTATGGATGTTGAGAGAACAGTTGATCCACTACTATCTAAATCTCAGAGTATCTTAACATCTACCAGTGCAACAGTGTCTTCAAAGGTATTTGTAAAAATTCATACCTTTCATACTACAGCTTAAAACTTGAAACAGAACTTTAAGAAATTTTATCTTCTGTGTTATATACTTCTGAATTACCAGTGGGAAATTTATCTTTTGATAGTGGTATTATATTGTCACATGGTTCTTACTTAATCCAGTAAAATTTAACTTTAAGGAAAGTTTGTAGTGAATTTACTAAAACCCAGTGTTTAAAATTTATCAGAGGTGTATGATTATAATATACTTTTAAATATCTCAGAAATGCATACTCATAGTGTATATATTTCCATAGGTCTTCACATTTTAAAAATATAACTATCTGGAATAACTTCTGAGATTTTAAATTAGAATTATGTTTTTGGATATCACTTTAAAACATGAAACATGTTAACAATTTTAACGAAAATCTTAAATGTTTTTCAACATCCGTGTTTCTTTAAAATAGATGGTTATCATCAGGAACATTATTATTATTATTCATATTTGATCCTTTGCCTTTATTTCCTAATTTTCAAAATAATGAGTTGGTGCCCTGGCACCTCTAGAGGTGATGAAATTGCTTTTTTTTTTTTTTTTTTTTTGAGACGGGATCTGGCTCTGTCGCCCAGGCTGGAGTGCAGTGGCCGGATCTCAGCTCACTGCAAACTCCACCTCCCGGGTTCACGCCATTCTCCTGCCTCAGCCTCCCGAGTAGCTGGGACTACAGGCGCCCGCCACCTCGCCCGGCTAGTTTTTTGTATTTTTAGTAGAGACGGGGTTTCACCGTGTCAGCCAGGATGATCTCGATCTCCTGACCTCATGATCCGCCCGTCTCGGCCTCCCAAAGTGCTGGGATTACAGGCTTGAGCCACCGCGCCCGGCCGCTTTTTTTTTTTTAAATTCATATAAATTTAACGGGTTCAAGTGCTTTTTTGTTACATGGATATATTTGTGTAGTAGTAAAGTCAGACTTTTAGTATAAACTAAAATATACATTGTATCCATTAAGTAATTTCTCATCCCTCACCTCCCTCTCACCTTTCCTAGTCTCCATTATCTATTATTCCATACTCTATATACATGTGTACACATTATTTAGCTCCCACTTATAAGTGAGAACATGTACCATTTGACTTTCTGTTTATGATTTATTTCACTTAAGGTAATAACCTCCAGTTCCACCCATGTTGTTGTAAAAGACATTTTTTCTGTATGGCTGAATAGTATTCCAGTGTGTATATGTGTGTGTGTGTATGTACATTTTCTTTACCCAATCATATGTTGATGTACACTTAGGTTGATTCCATATCTTTGCTATTGTGACTAGTACTGTGATAAACATATGAGTGCAGGTATCTTTTTTATATAATGATTTATTTTCCTTTTGGCAGATACTCACAGTGGGGTTGCTGGATTGAATGGTAGTTCTATTTTTAGTTCCTTAAGAAATCCCCATACAATTTTCCATAAAGATTGTACTAATTTATATTCATAAAACCAAGAGTATATAAGCATTCCCTTTTCTCTGTGTTCTCACCGACATCTGTTACTTTTTTAACTTTTTAATAATAGATAAATATTCTGACTAGTATAATATATCTCACTGTGGTTTTAATTTGTGTTTGATGATAAGTGATGGTGAGCATTTTTTTTTTTTTCATATGTTTCTTGGCCACTTGTATGTCTTCTTTTCAAAAAGTCTATTCACATTTTTTGCCCTCTTTTTAATGCGGTTATTTGTTTTTTGTTGTTGTTGAGGGGAACATTATTATTCTAACCTTAAGAAACAGATACGTGATTATGTAGGATTACTTGTTCCTAAACTAAATTGTGTCTGAGTGCTATACTTTAAAAATTTATGGTGTAGCATTTTCAGTCTTTGTTTCTCCTGAATTTGTCATTATCTCTTATAGCTGCAATTAACTAGCAGTTCTGTGTACTTAGTATCGGGGGAAGAAAACAGTGCTAGCTGAAAATTTGTGTTTGAGCAATACTTTTATAATATAAAATACAAGTTTTCTTAACGTTTATGGAGAAAGTTCATTAAGCCATGTGCCAGGTATATCATCCTTAGCTACGTTCCTTAGGAAAAAAACACTACTGACGAGTTAGGGATGTGTTTGTATCTGTGCTCTCACTTTACCACTAGCACCCATCAGTCTACGTAAAGTAGAAAAGTTATTCCTTACAAGAAGAAAGGATATTCTGGAGTTTATAGACAGGATTGTAGAATGTCTAATAGAGGCAATTCTAAATTAGAACAGGCAATTTATATGTAAGAAGTAAGGTTGTAACATATTTCTTTTGACTGGACCCTTGGCTTCATTCTTATTCTCTACTGAGTGGCCTTTTCTAAACAGGAATAGAATCATTCTCCATTAAAGTCTTTTTGTTGGTTTATCACAGGAATTCCGTCCAGACTCCTCATCGCCACCTAGTGATCGCACATGGTTCTTCTCTGACCACGTCTTCCACTCTTCTCTGCCATTCACTATGCTTCAGCTCCATTCACCTCTCTGTTTTTCAAAGCTACCAAGCTCTGTCCCTTCTCAGGCTTTTACCACTTGCTGTTTCTTTCTTTCATAGACTTTCAAGTGGGCCCTTTGCACTCATTATCTGTCTCAGCTCTCATGTCAGCCCCTCAGGACAGCCTTCCCTGATCAACTTCTTCAGCCCCACTCTGGTCATTCTCTGTCGCTGTACACTATTTTATCTCCTTCATGAGTCATGTTTGCTTATATATTTATTTTTGGTCAACCATCTCTAGAATTTAATATTCTTAAGGGCATTTTATTCACTGATTTGTTCCCAGTGTCTACTGTGTTTGACACATAGTAGATGCTTAAAGAATAGTGATTTACTGGCAGTTTGGCTTCTAAGCCTAACAAAGATAGTTGTTATGAATAAATCATCTTTGGCATTTTCTGTTTAATAGAAAACAATTGAAGATAGAAATATAAAGAATAAAAAGTCAACAAATAATAGAGCATCCAGTGCATCTGCCAGGTAAGAAAGTGATCAATATTTGTCATTGATGGGCTTGCATTCTAGCAAAGCTAGTTTTAATTTAACTTTCATAAAGTAAATTTCATTTGGTGTTACTGTGTTTTCTCTTTATTTGCATTTCATAAAATGAAAAGAGTAGTTACTTCATGATAAAACTCCTTGGTTGATGATATTATTTGAAATACAGTAATTCATAAAAAGTAAGCCTATTACTGGTTGTTTTAGTGCCTGGAATGTTTATGCAATACCTTCGCTCTCCAGGATCGTCCTAGGAATATTCTTCTTCTTTCTTAATGTCAGTGATTAGGGATTCTCTGTGCTCCACACTGCTTCTGGAATAGAGCTTCTTTCTCCTACTTTTCCTGAGACAAGCAATAGAAAATGGTAATAAAGCTGAAGTCTAGCAATGATACTTATTCATTATCAAGTATCATTGTCTAACATGAGAAATTGTACTGAAAGCCTTCCGAATCTATGAACTAAGTAGGTTTATTAAAATGATTATCTATATGGCTTCATTCACACCAGTGATAATGAATGCCTAACTCATAAGTGCTAATCAAAACCTTCTGAATCTTTTAAATTATCATTAGTCAAATTATCATTAATCAAATAAAACAGAGCTAACAAGCTTTTTCTGTAAATGGCCAGTTCGTGCGCATTTTAGGCACAGTCTGTATTGGAACTACTCATTTCTGCTATTTTAACAGGAAAGCAGCCACAGGCAAAACTTAAGTGAGTGATTACAGCTATAGTGCAATAAACTTTGTATACTAAAACCGATGGCTGGCCGGATTTTCCCACCAATCCCTGAAATAGATGGTACTATTCTTTCTAATTTTATATTTGGAATGCTTCATGTAACAAAATGATGAAAGAAAATAAATATTAAAAGAGTGATTATAACCCACTTTATTGTTTTTTCCATGTAACTTGAGAAGAAGTAACATGGTCCATATTTCTTAAAAAGTTTCTAATTACAAATATTTAAATAGAGCAATCATTTTAAAGCCATATAACTTAAAGTTATACAATTTAAATTATGTTGAAGGGGACATAATTTAAATATGTCCCCTTCAACATAATTTAATACTCTTCGTATACTAAGGCTGTACATTTTACCTACATCATTTTCAAAGTAAATACAATTTGTTAAATTATAATGTAGTTTTCAGTTTTTTTTTGAGATGGAGTCTCACTCTGTTGCTCAGGCTGGAGTGTAGTGGCATGATCTCTGCTCACTGCAACCTCTGCCTCCTGGGCTCAAGCTATCCTCCCACCTCAGCCTCCAGGGTAGCTGCAACTACTGGCGTGCACGACCATGCCGGCTAGCTTTTTGTATTTTTGGTAGAGATAGGGTTTCACCATGTTGCCCAGGCTGGTCTGTAACTCCTGAGCTCAAGTCATCCATCCATTTTGGCCTTCCAAAGTGCTGGTATTACAGGTGTGAGCCATCGTGCCTGGTCAGTTTTCAAATATTATATGTGCATATTCTAACAGATCTCTCTTGTACCAAATGCAATTGTAATATTTTATCATGATTCATTTGGATCTTTTCAGATTAATGACCTCTGAGTTTTTGAAGAAATCTAGTTCTAAAAGGAGAACTCCATCGACAACTACCTCTTCTCACTATTTAGGGACTTTAAAAGTCTTGGACCAAAAACCTTCACAGAAACAGAGCATAGAACCTGATAGAGCAGATAACATAAGGGCAGCTGTTTATCAGGTAAAAAAGGAAAATATTTTTAAGAGGAGAAAGATGATCACTTTCATAAGCCAACACTGTTTATAAAGAATAAAGCAATCCTGATAGGAAATTATGGTTTAATACTTAATTTATTGAGAAAGATTTTCCTTATAATACATGAGTAATCCATAGATATTTTACTAAATTATTTGCTTCCACACTTTGCATAACCAATCATAGTTGTTTTTAAGGAAAGAATATGCCATTACAATTTATAGAAATATAACACAAGCCAAAACATTGTAAAGTCTATATGTTTTCATTTTTTTATTCTTGAAGTTTATATGAACAAAAGGAGTTATTATGAACAAAAAGTTAGTAAATGTTTTCTTTCCTAAGATATTGTTAGGCATACATAGAAAAAAGATTTTATTAATTTATTCACAATTCTAAAAAAGATCGTTTTTTGTCTTTTTTAAAGTAGAATAGTATACTTTAGAAAACTGTACATGTGAATTTCAGAGAAAATGTTAATATAAAGAATTCTAATTCATTTAAGAAATTTTAAATATTATATAACCTTTTTCTTGTTCTCATAGGAGTGGTTAGAAAAGAAAAATGTATATTTACATGAAATGCACAGAATAAAAAGAATTGAAAGTGAAAACTTAAGGATCCAAAATGAACAGGTATTCTGACATATAGAAGTAAAAATGTTTTGGATTTTTATTTCGGTGAAATATCCCTGAATATATAACTTTTCTAAATCAGCTTTTTAAATGGTAAAATAACTTGTATATTAAAGAATTGATTTCTTGTTTTATTTCTGTTTTACTTTATAGATTTTAGTTTGATATAACTGTTTTACATGAAAACAGATTTTAATTGTGTATATGTATAGGATAGCTTTGTTCCTGCTGATTATGAAGTTATTATTGTTTGTGAGCACCTAATTCACTCTTAAAAGTTGACTTCATTTAGAACTTAGCCAAGAAGGCCAGGCACTGTGGCTCACACCTGTAATCCTAGCACTTTGTGAGACCGAGGCAGACGGGATCCCTTGAGGTCTGGAGTTCAACACCAGCCTGGGCAATGTGGTGAAACCCCATCTCTCCTAAAAATACAAAAATTAGCCAGGCATGGTGGTGGGCACCTGTAATCCCAGCTACTCGGGAGGCTGGGGTGGGAGGATCACTTGAACCCAGGAGGTGGAGGTTGCAGTTAGCTGAGATCATGCTACTGTACTCCATCCTAGGTGACAGAGACTGTCTCAAAGGAAAAAAAAAAAAGGCATAAGAAGATAAAGGATCATTAGACACTAGTTAGCCTTCAGTTTTCCTCTTTTCTCTCTTGAATTTTACTATACCACTTAGCCTATTACAATTTATTTTGATATAATTTGTTTAGTACAAATTATCAAGTCCAGCCCCTCCCTGAGCTCTTGATTTTTGTATCCTTTCCCATCAACTGGAGGTGAACTTTTGTTCCTTTCTCTTCTGTACTGAGTCACTTCCTCTAACTCCTGCTTAGAATACGCTCAGTTATTTCCTATATTCTAAAGTCAAACTTCTGAAAAAAAACCTCCAGTGTGCTGTTCAATATTAAAATAGATTTAGAAGAAAAATATTTTCCAAAGTGAACAGCACGATAATGCATCAGTAGCGAAGGGAGCCGCCCTCCAGGGGGCGTGCCTGTCTATCTGTTAACCAAGTTCATAGCAGTATGCTGCTGTGGTCAGTGCCATACCCCTTCTCATTTGATCTTCACAGCTCTGTGAGGTAGACAGTACTTTGACTTCTAAATTATGTTACCCCAATATTAAGGTTTTATGTCATTTAATATTGAACAATAAAGCAAACATAGAATATTATGGGATTAGATTGAAGGAAATAAAATAATAACTTGCTATACAGTCTCCTACCTATTTTTCAGTTGAGCACATACTTTCAACATTTGGAATACATTTGTATAGTAAGAACTTTATGTTTTGATACTATTCAAAATTAAGATTTAAACCAAAAATCTGCATCTTACTGCATGACTTGGCCAATTTGCCTTACTCTAACTTAGTTGATAAGCCCATAAGTTTACTGATTTTTTTCAAATATTTTATTATGAAAATTTTACTATACCACTTAGCCTATTACAGTTTATTTTGACATAATTTGTTTAGTACACTTTCAAAAATAATAGTTGACATCTTTCTCATTAATAGGTCAATATATGATAAATGTTTTTAGAAAAGGACATTTTAAAATCAGTGAATAATTCAGATAACATTCTTTGTAAATTAACTTATCTAAGCCATTTTAAATAAATTATTTTGAAAGTTAACTTCTAAGTACAATGAATCTCAGGATTACAGATAAATGTATATGTGTATATTTATATCTAGCCATATTTGTCGAATATTTATATCTAGCCATATTTGTCTCTCTCTCTCTATATATGTATATATGTATATCACTCTATTATTTTTTTCCAATGTAGAAAAGAGCTGCTAAAAGAGAAGAAGCATTAGCGTCATTTGAGGCCTGGAAGGCTATGAAAGAAAAGGAAGCAAAGAAAATAGCTGCCAAAAAGAGGCTTGAAGAAAAAAACAAGAAGAAAACTGAAGAAGAAAATGCTGCAAGAAAAGGAGAAGCACTACAGGTATTCGGGAGCTTTGCACATCTTAATTATTTTAAAACATTTGAAATTCAAATTAATGATTAATGTATTTTTATTTATTTTCAAATATTCACAGTAAGAAAATTATTTTGAACTTTTTCAGGCTTTTGAAAAATGGAAAGAGAAAAAGATGGAATATCTTAAAGAGAAAAATAGAAAGGAGAGAGAATATGAAAGAGCAAAGAAACAGAAAGAGGAGGAAACTGTTGCCGAGAAAAAGAAAGATAATTTAACTGCTGTTGAGAAATGGTAATCTCAAATCATACATATTTTGACATATTTTAAATTAATAACACTTCAGAATTTTATAAAATTTATTTACTTGAAATTTACTAATGCATTTCAATTTCGTTACTGTCAAAGATGTACTAGGGAATCTTTATTATGTGTTTTCCTTTAACTGTCCAGTGTTGTATACCATCCTCTGTAGGAATGAGAAAAAGGAAGCTTTTTTCAAGCAAAAGGAAAAAGAAAAAATAAATGAGAAAAGAAAGGAAGAACTGAAAAGAGCTGAGAAAAAAGATAAAGATAAACAAGCTATTGATGAATATGAAAAATGGCTGGTAGGTATTATTTGTCAATGCGCTTGAGTCTTTTTCATCTACCTTTTATGTCTTTTCTGTCCCTAATTCTATTTGCACCAGACCTACTGATCATTTCTACCTGGAATCTGCTTTGTTGAATTCAAGCTCTCCTCCTGCATATAGCATATTTTCTTTGATTTAGTCATTTCTATTAATGTTTCTACTATTTGCTCAAACACCTAAGCTTAAAACTTGTTAAAGTCTTCTTCCTTACCTGCATCCCCACATTTACCATTTTCTATTGATGCCCATTCTTCCTTTGCTGTGATTCTCACATCTAACATCATAGAAAGAAGAAAAGTATACTATCGGGGCTACTACTTGGTGGAACTTGGTCATAACAAAAAGTAACACTGAATTTAATAGTGAGAAAATTAGTCCATCTTTTATTCTCTTTTGATATTTCTGATGACCTCAAGGAGAATCTCTTATTTAGTGTTTTTAATGAGAGAGCAGGTTTGAGATTTAGGAGGAGCAATAGCTAGCTGAACCAGATGTATGTATATATTTGATTTCACTTAATCTTTATAAAAGTTACTTTTTGTTGATGTCAAGCAAAATGTTACTTTCCATTTTAGAATATCAATATAAATATGCATTTTTGTCAATTTTTATATAAGTAATACATTATGAATAAATACATAAGTAGGTAACACATTCATATGAATAATTAACATATTCATTTGATTCAGCAACCAAAAAGTATAACATTTTTGCACTGGAAGTCTATCCAGTCAGGTTTCTTATCAAACTTTAAAACAACTCATACCAATCGACTAGTTAAAAAAAATCATCTAGGTTATTTTTGATTTGCATTTCTCTCATTAGAATTGAGCTCGAATATCTTTTCATTTGTATACAAGCCATTTATCTATTATTTTCTCTGTAAATTGTCATTTCATAGACTTTGTACACTTTTCCATTAGGTTGTTGGGTTTTTTTCTTACTGATTTCTAGAACCTTTTGTTTTGTACTAAGGAAATTAACCTATCATTTTTTTATATGAGTTTCAAATATTTTTCCCCACCATACTGTTGGTTTCCCAACTTTCCTTATAGTATTTTATGCCATGAAGAATTTAAATTTTAGGTGTCAAATTTATCAGTCTTTTTTTTTTTTTTTTTTTTGGCTATTGATTTTCAAGCATAGTTGAAAAGACCTCCACAATTTGAGGTTAAACAAAATTCTCTTATTTTTCTTCTAACAACTTTGTGACTTTAATACCTTAATGTTTTAATATTTATTCTACTTAGAATTTACCCTGATAATGGTGGGAAATATGATTTTAACTTTAGTTTTTCCAAATGTATCCTTTATAAAGTAGCCCATTTTTACCCACTGATTTGAGGTGCTGCTTTTATTATATGATACCTTCTCATATTTTCAGGTCTGTTTCTTAACTTTCTGTTCCATTGGTCAGTCTTGTGATTCCAGTGCCACACTTCATTATTAGACTTGATATTTCTAAATATCTGCTTGGATTCATCTCCCTTTATAGTTCCTCTTTCACAGTCTTTTTGACCAGTCTTGTTTATTTTTTTCCTATAAACTTAAGAATCTGCAGCAGTTAGAAAGGCACATCAGACATCATTTAAAAATGAGCTATTTAAAGATAGAATAAAAAGATAAAACAATAATATACTTAAGAAACATGCCAGACCAACATAAAGAAAATTGTAGAACTCTCCTGAACAACACAAATGAAGACTTGAGAAAATGGATCAGAATTGCCCTTGCATAGAAACACACTTATAATGATGTTATAAAGATGTCAGCTCTCTCTGAAGTAATTTAATGCACTTGTAACAAAAGCCAACAGGATTTCCTCTGTGTGTTGACTTTAGTACTGCTATATGCTAATTCTGTGCAGAGAAATAATAATAAGGTAATCAAAATTGGTTCAGTTTTGAATGAAAAAGGTAGTGTTTCTTGATGATTTCCTTAAGTTAAACTTTTAAATAAAGCTATGCTCCAAAAAACATTTTAAAGTCCACTTATATTAAGAAGATATATACTGACCACTGGAATCAATTAGGGAAATTAAATGTAAATGTTTGAGTTTTCCATTTTAATTTTGTATTTTCATGAAAATGAAATAGAATTGCCTTAATAAGTCACATTTAGGTACACTATTTTAAATTATAGTACTTAATTACATTGTCATTCTCATCAGTCCTCTGAAGAACAAGAATTCCTTAAAGACCAAAGACAAAATAACATGATATCTAGTAAAATGTCTGCAAATATAGTACACCTATAAACACACAATGTTACAGATCCATTCTGCTTCTTACCAAATTCTTATTGAAATTTGTTTGCAGATAGAATAGAAAAATTGTCCCTATATCGAAGTCTAATGACTTCAATTTTCATGTAAAATAACATCTCAAGCTTTTTATATACAAACTAGTTTGCACAGTAAGCATTTGGTGCATAGTTGTTTTAGGGGAAAGTTATAGCCAAAGATCAGGTAAGACTAAAATATTTTTCTTGCCAATTCCCAGCTTTATTCATCATTACCTTTAGTAAGAAAATGAGCAAAAAGCTCAGTTTTCCACAGGTGAATGTCAGAAGGACTTTTTAACAAGGTTTTTTAAATTATTATCAAGGTAACTATTGATTCTTGTGAATTGATATTACAGTTAATATAATTGTCTATTAGCTACCCTGACTTTACAGCTCCCGCTAGTAAGATGAAGCATATTTCAAGTTACTGTCCCCCCATGTTAAGTGGAATTAGAAAAAGAGATTTATTCAGTCAATCTCTGTGGACACAGTCTGGTCACTGCTTTTCTTCCGCCTAGCTAGATGGTCTGCCTCTCTCTAAAATATTAAAATGATTGAAGATGATCTAATGACAGCTTTGGTTTTCACAATTAAAATTCTGAAAGGAAGTTCCCTCTTTGCCTTAACAGAAATAGCAAGCAAACAAACATGCAAACATTCTTATGACATGGAATGAGGATATGGATGTTAAGATTGAGAAGAAAACAAACCTCCCACTTAACTTTGTTATATGTGAATGGAAACCTTGTGCTGTATTGCCATATTATGCTTGTGGCACTTATATATATACTGATGAAAAGATGCATACATACCTAATCATTTTTCATAATGCCTCTCCTCCCAAGCCATCAACCTACAGAGGCAGGTTTCACTAAGGGTTTTCCTGCTCCTTGAGGAATATGAGAAAAATACCACGATGAAGAAACCACCAAACCTTATAGTGTTAGCAGAGACATAAAGAAATAGACAATCCAAGTTGTAAGATGGAAAGACCAGATCCTACTAATATTTCAAGTATACCTAGATAAATATTTAGATTTCATACTAATATGCAGATACTCAGTTACTTTGATGGGAGGACGTGCAGGGAAATGAAATGATTCTCAAATTCATCTGTAGAATAAAAATATGGGAGATAATATTTTGAGAATAATATGAAGTAGGACTATCCCTATCAAGCAATAAAATATAAATTTACCATTCCACTTCTGTGAATCATCATTCTTTCTCCTGTTCTCAATTGTTCCCATCATGTTCCAGGATATATAATCTTCAAGAAAAATACACTCTTTGAACTCTGCATTTCCCTCTGTCTATAGGCCCACTTTTGTCTGCTTTTCTTTATAGTGAAACATCTAGAAAGTTTTGCTTATACTTCCTTAGTTCCTCATATCCTTTTCATTCACTTCCCACTTCAGTTTTGTCTTTGTCCTCATCACTACACCAAAATCACACTTTGAAAGTTACAGGTTTGCATCTATACGGTCTATTGTGTGTTTCTGTCCTGTTTCAGAATATCTCAGCATTCTACACTGTTGATTTCTTCCTCCTACAGCTGTCACCTCCTTTGGCTGTCATGCTCCCCTGATGTTCTCCTCACTTCTCTGCCTGGCTTCTGTGTCATTCGTTCAATTGTTTTATCTAAGTTCTGCATGTTACCACGGCCTGCCAAGGCCCATATGATCTTAGTCCTCATCCATCTCTTGCTCACCATTTCCATTTCTTGTCTCCTGCCTCTTGGCAAGCCTTAGTCGCAGTAGATCTTTTTTGTTTCCTCCCACATCACAAATTTTTTTCCCACTCTCAGAGCCCTCACTACTACTGTTTGCTTTGCTTGCAAAGCTCTTCCCCAATATTTATCACAAATGGCTTCTCTTATCCATCATTTCACACTTCAAAGGGACTTTCCCTGAGCCCATTTTTTGTTAGAAGTAAATACTCTTTTCTGTTCCTTCTCATAGTTTTAAAACACGTTTCCTAGAAATTGACACAACTTGGAATTATCCGTTGTTTATTTTCTTGTTTGTTTCTGTCTATTTTGAAAGTTGCCTGGGGGACAGAGACAATATCTGTGTGTTGGGATTTAAAAAAAATTTTTTATTTGCAATTGACACACAAAAGGTGTACATATTTATGGGATATAGTGTGATGTTTCCATCTACGTATACATTGTATAATGATCAAAAATGACTCACAAAGGTAGGCAAAATGATGCAAAGATAACATTAATATTTTTTATATGAAAGTACACAAATTGCTAAAAGTTAAAGGCACTGATACCATACATTTAAATGGCCAAATAATTGAGCAGAAAATTTACAAAAGGGCTAAAGAAATGTTTGAAAATGTGCTCAAGTTCAATAATAAAGAAACATGAGGAAGATTTTTTAACTATTTGTAAAAAATTTGAAGTATCTCATACTGTCATGACATATTAAAACTTTGCACCCAGTAAATTTACTTCTGAGAATTTGTTCTCACAAAGTCATCACCAACTTATAATAGTTATTATCTTTGAGTTACAATAGTAGGTCTGTTTTTCTATTTGATACAATTCTTTTTTAATGTTCTCACTTTTATAGTTTAAAAAATTAAGTGATATTACTACCTGTTGATGTACTTACAAATTGGCAATGTTTCCTAGCTGTTTTTTTTCTTGTTTCCATTTTTTGTTTATTTTTCTTGAGACAGGGTCTCACTCTGTTGCCCAGGCTGGAGTGCAGTGGTGCGATCTTAGCTCACTGCAACCTCCACCTCCCTGGCTCAAGCAATCTTCCCACCTTAGCCTCCTAAGTAGCTGAGACTATAGGTGTGTGCCACCACACCTGGCTAATTTTTGTATTGTTTTGTAGAGATGATGTTTCACCATGTTTCCCAGGCTGGTCTCGAACTCCCAGGCTCAAACGATCCACCCACCTCAGTCTCCTAAAGTGCTGGGATTACTGGTGTGAGCCACCATGCCCGGCCCTACCTGTTATTTCTTTATGATCTGTTAAACTAGGAAGTGATATATAAATATCCTATAATGGATTATTTTCTTCAGCAAGCAACCTGATTTGAAAATAATATTCATATATGTACATAAATTTATAGTGTTCTATTTTCTCTTTAGGAAAATAAGGAAAGGCAAGAAAGAATTGAACGAAAACAGAAGAAACGTCATTCCTTTCTTGAAAGTGAGGCACTTCCTCCGTGGAGCCCTCCAAGCAGAACTGTGTTCACAAAAGTGTTTTGATAATTCTAGTTCTTACATTATTTAGTTGTTTATCAGTTTGCCAATATTTGCCATAGATTTAAAAACATTCCATTATTTATAGTTAGAGGAATATATTTTAATTAAATGCCAGACACTCCTGCTGACAATGAGAGAGATACTTTGGAGTGTAATCAGTGAAAGCATTTTTTTGAACTGTAGATAAACTGCCTCAAATGAAGATCTAATAATCAGATTGTTTTTACCATTAAGATACATAAAGTTTTATCATGTCCTGATAATTCTTACAGTGGAGTGATTCATGATCTTTTTCATTAAGCTCTGTGTGTTAAGTATATTTAATTTCAGTAATAGAAATTATTCCATTTGTGGATGATTGTTAATCTAGATTCAGGTTTTTAAATGAATGGTCGCTGGGAAGTGCACACATATTATTCCTTCTGAAACTGATGTTTAGCTCAAAGCAGTTGCATTTGTACTGTGCAAGTTAGAATTTTGATCAGTTGAGGCAGTAGTTCAGTAGAACTCTAATCATCAAGGCTTTTTATTTAAGAACTGCCTTATGTTTTAATATGAGTGTACTTTATCTGTTCCAGGCTTATGTGACAATCATAGGCACTTTATAATGAGTCCACCTCTGAAATTTTTCTTTTTGAATTCTATCTCACTGTATTATTTCAGTGATACCAAAAGACATCAATGTCACAGTAGTGATATACTTACGCATTAGTTATGGAAATTCCACAGGAGTTCAAGGTCATTATCACTATAATTATTTTCCAGACTAAAGCCATAAAGGTGATTTAGGCAATTATTGTCATCTTAGCTAGTCCAGTTTTATAGCTTATATTCCGAAGACAGCTGTATGGGAAGGTAAATGTGTTGACAATGTCCACAAAGCCTTTATTTATTTATTTATTTATTTGATCTCTGCGTGTCCTTGTAGTCATTGGTCTCATACTTGACCTGGTCCTCTGGTTTAAGACAGACCAAGTATATGCTCTCGGAGTTGAAATGCAGCATTAGTCAATAATGCAATGCAGAGATGATGGATGGGAATACACAGTTCCTATTTATTGAGCATCTAATATATAATCTCTACTGTATCTTTACAAATGTATTTAACATCTTTACAACAACTTTTCAGGGTAGGTGTTATTAGCTTCATCTTACAGATAAAAATACTGATGCTCAGATAACCCAAGTAATTTGCCATCCATCTGGAGTGTGCCTGAACTGGGATCAAACGGGATTCAGTCTGTCTGACTGAATCTGCCTCCTTCTGAAATCTCTGTGCTCTTTTTCACACTTCTCTGTAGCCTCAGAGACAGCTAAGTTCTGTCAAGACCTCTGCATAGTATCAACGTTACAAACACGTTTTAACTTTTAGAGCCTAAAATCATGTATTGTTATCCAAACATGATCTTTCTCTATAGAAATAGCTGCTTGTTGTTAGAGATGGTGGACGTCATTAAATCTATCAAGTGAAATAAAAATCCATAAGATTTCATGAGTTACTCAGGCATCTTATAACTACTATCAGAATATCAGAAACCTCAGCACGTTATGTGACAAAGGCTTTGAGATGGTCACTCCGGACGTTTCACGCACTGAGCATCAGCCTTCTTGCTGCATTGCATGTGCAAGATAAGATGTCATAGGCGGCTTTGTAAGATTGTATCAGTGCTATAGACAATTAAGAGAAATTTCATAGATAAAACTAGAACCCTTTCTATATGGCCAGAACTATAATACTTTCTGAAATTGATCTAATTATCAGCAATATGTAGTATCAGCATGGAACTTAGGACCTCTCTTACTCGTTCCTCTGTCCCCCATAGTTCCAAACACAGTGCCTGCCAAAATAGATTTAGTGTTTATTGTATTATCTATTTAGAGCTAAAAAGATATTTACAAATTCCAGGGAAGTAAAAGGAAAAAAATTGAAAAAGGTACAGCTACTTTTGGGGATGTGAGATCATGAATGTGTATCTTACAGATTTCACATTAATTATTTACTTTCCAATTATTTTCTTCTATATTATCATATTTAGTGGCTAACCGTTACTACCTCTTACGTTGTTGTGAGAACTGAATTAATTAATGTAAAGTATTTGACACATAATAAGGACTTAAAGGTTCATTGTTGTCATTATTGATTTACTGTCATGAGCCCTACATTTCCCCATTTTATGAGTGTAAGAACATTAACATAGATAGGATTAATAATGGTTATTTGACATTACACATTTTTAGCAAGAAGAAATTTCTGTCTTGTTGGCCAGTCCAGGCTGTATCACTCAAAAAAAATACAGAGAGATTACATTTATTGATTTGTGTATGTTGAGCCAGCCTCATCCCAGGGATGAAGCCCACTTGATCATGGTGGATAAGCTTTTAGATATGCTGCTGCATTCGGTTTGCCAGTATTTTATTGAGAATTTTTACATCGATGTTCATCAGGGATATTGGTCTAAAATTCTCTTTTTTTGTTGTGTCTCTGCCAGGCTTTGGTATCAGGATGATGCTGGCCTCATAAAACGAGTTAGGGAGGATTCCCTCTTTTTCTGTTGATTGGGGTAGTTTCAGAAGGAATGGTACCAGCTCCTC